TTTAGTGTCTTTAAAGTGTTTCCCCGTGTTCCTGCACTTTTTACAAAAGAGGGAAGCCTATTTAAGACCTATGGGAGAGCTCAAGTTTTGACATCCTTCCCCGCTCACGTCTCCCATGGCACTGGCGAGAGGAGTTGCTGTAACCGCCAGCCACCCGCTCTCTGGCCAGCCTGCCTCGGGTACACGCACGAATGAACGCACACACACACTCACAGACGCTCGCAGATATCTTCCATTTAAAGACGATTGCTTTTCTGCTCACTTATTAATTACAGTAATTGTGAGAGAAATAAACCAGGCTATATGGAAGATCAGGAATTTATTGGGTTTTCTTCAGACACCCAACAAGCCCAACTTCAGACGGATGTCAGTGCAATTAGTGGACTCCAAGTGGATCAAGCGGCCCCACCCACCCTTAGCCCCCACTACACACGTCCGCAATCTGCCACAGGTGTCGACTTCCTTCATTTAATTCAGTTTTTGGAAGAAAACCGACGACAAGACGACATCAGGAGGCGACAGGAAGACGATGAACGAAGACGTGAAGAGGATCACAGGCGTCAACAAGAAAATGCCAGATTCAGTGCCATTATCGAGTTGTTGGCACCTGTTACCCTTCAAGCAGCTACTACACCTGCCTCTTCGTCCACAGGTGCACCTGCAGGGTCCTCTTCAACTTCTTTGCCCCCCCCACAGAAAGCACTCGCTCAGAGTCCACCGCCACTCCAAGCTGATGCCTCGTTCCAGGTATTCCGTGAATGGCGTCGGAGGTGGGACGATTATTCGATGATGGTCGATTTATCGAGGTTGCCTAGGGAGAAACAGCTGATCCAGATGAGGATGTGTCTCACCCTAGAGAGCAACGTATCCTGGAGCACACCCTGCAAATTCCCCACAACACAGACAAGACTGTGAAGGACGTCTTGGATGCTTTACAGACGCATATCAAGGGTCTCGCAACGAAGCTCTCCGTAGGAGAGAACTTCTCAGTTGTAAGCAGCTGGAGGGTGAGTCGTTTGCCGATTTTTACGTACGACTCAGACGCATCGCTGAGGAGGTTGACGTTTGTCCTGGGAACTCGTTGACTTGTGAGGAAACACAGCTGAAGATGATTATCCTCATGGGCGTGCGGGACGAAGAGCTTATTCAGAAGCTTATCTCCCTCGACACTGCCTCTTCTCTACAGGATGTTGTCACCACCTGCCGCTCTTACGAAGCCACCAGAAGTGCGACTTCTGCCATTCGTGCTCCATCTAACCAGCTGTGTGCCATCTCCGCATATAAGAAGAACAAAGGACGTGACCGGACTTCAGCTTCACATCCGACTTCAGCTTCACATCCGACTTCAGCTTCACATCCGACTTCAGCTTCACATCCGACTTCAGCTTCTCATCAATCTTCAGCATCACTTCAGACTTCGACGCCAGGTCATTCCTGCCAGTATTGTGCTCGTCGGCATGGTTCTGAATGCCCTGCCGCTGACAGCACCTGCAATAACTGTGGACGTCGTGGTCATTGGGCTAGGACACTGAAGTGCCCTGCCAACAACGTTCAGTGCCGCTCCTGTAGCCGCATTGGACACTATGACAAATGCTGTCAGTCACGGAAGAAGAATGATACTACTTGCAAGTCTCAGGCGGCGAAGAACAAGCGCTGTTGTCGCGTGGGATCCTCTTCTTCTCCTGTCAGCAAGACACCTCAGCCCATCTGTGTTCACCTGTCATACGGCGACATTACTTCCCGTATCCAGATGCTTCCTGACACAGGTGCGGACGTCACAGTCATCGGCACAAGACACCTCGACATTCTGGGGATCCCTAGGAGCAGTTTGCAGCCACCGTCAACTTCTACAACGCTCACCGCAGACGGTTCTACAATGGCACCTGCTCTGGGTACATTTCAGGCTACCCTCACCCTAGGTAAGCAGTCATGTTCTGCCAGGATTCAGGTCCACAAAGGTGTTCAGATGCCACTACTGTCTTATGGCCACTGTCAAGAGTTGGCCATAATATCTCCAGACTTCCCTAAGCCAATTCTGGAAATAAAACATGTCAACAACGACAACCCTACGAGGCCCTTTGAGTCCGTCTCTGCGGATTTCTTCGTTGTGGCGGGAAAGTCCTTTCTCGTCATCGCCGACCGGCTCTCAGGTTGGCCTGTTGTCGTTCCCTGCGGAGGCAACACTACTGCCTCTCATACAGTACGTATGTTCTGTCGCTACTTCCGGGAAGTTGGTGTCCCTCTCCGCCTGAGGACTGACGGCGGGCCCCAGTTCACCAGCAACGACTTCCGGGACTGCATGGAGCGATGGGGAGTTTATCATGTGGTGTCCTCGCCACATTATCCCCAGTCCAATGGACATGCCGAGGCTGCCGTAAAGTCCGTCAAGCATCTTATCCTCAAGACGGCACCCTCAGGCAACATTGACTGTGAGAAGTTTGACCGGGGTTTATTAGAATTGCGGAATACCCCCAACTTCACAGGTCGCTCCCCAGCACAGATGTTATACGGCCACCCACTACGGTCATGTGTCCCTGCCCATCCTGAGTCCTTCTCGAGGGAGTGGCAGGCCAAGACCGAGGATTGCGATCGTCGTGCAGCCGCCCGTGCTGACCACGTAAAGGCACAGTACGATCAGCACACCCGACCCCTTCCCAGGTTGAGTATCGGGCAAACAGTTCGGATTCAAGACCCGACGTCTCACCGCTGGGACAAGGTCGGGGTTGTCATGGGCTGCGGCAAGACCAGGGACTACGAGGTTTGTCTCCCTAGTGGTCGGGTATGGTGGCGGAATCGCCGCTTCCTTCGTTCAGTACCGTCCTCGAGTGGTGAACCCCTCCCCCACATCCCTGTGAACCCTTGCTTGGACGAGAAAAGTAAGTCCTCATTCAGTGACCCCCAGTTTTCCCACGTCACTCTCAAAGGCTCATGGAAAAAGAGTCCGCTCGAGATTGCACTACGAGCGTGAGGGGGAGGGAGGTGTAGATATATGAGACGAATATTGCTGTAATATGTAACTGTACTATTTACCATTATTGTTTCAGGTCTCTGTATTATATGTTATAATCATACTCCCTTTTGTCACTGAATGTTAGTTCATGTTTTAGGCACATGCGCGCTGTATGCGCAGAGAGAGATACCGGGAGAGATTCCAAGACAGGACGTTGTTTCCCCTGTCTTAACTCCTTTTGTGTGTTTGTCCCAGAAATAGAACTTACGAACTTGACACCAGTGTGTTTCCTTCACCCCTGATTGGAAGTATCACCTGGGTCTCCCACACATCCCTTTATTCAAATTAATATAAAACAGAAGTTACCCATCTTCCTCAGACAGTGACACTTTGTTCTTCCACATAATTATTTTCCAGATTCTCTGCACCATTTCATCATGACACTCACTGTACCATAATTATTTCACTTATTTTCATGAAACTACTGTATTGTACTTCAGAATCATCAAATAATGCACACATTGAAATATTCATGCTATATAAAATCAATTGGCATTTTCCAGAAATTATCCTAAATAAAGTTTTTGTTTTCATGGCGAGTCAACTACACAAGACCACTAAAAGAGTACAGTGGGGTATGCTATAACGAACGGATCCTACTACGAATATTCCTATAAAGAACGGTTTTACCTATAAAATTGAGAATGCTATAACGAACAAAACTCCTACAACGAACATTATTTAATTTTTTTTTTACTAATTTATTGTTTTTTTATTACAAGTATTAATGATATTCTTTATTTCAGGGGTTTAGATGCATATTTATGCACTTTTTTACAATTTTTACAATTTTATATGATATTTTTCAGTGCTAAGTGGTTGTATTTGGGGGCCTGGAACGGATTAATCCTATAACGAACGAATGCTATAACGAACAAGGTTCTAAAACCAATTAGATTCGTTATAGCATACCCCACTGTACTGCACATTTATCCAGAAATCAGGCAGCTAAATTAGCAGTAATTTTTTGCCAACATGAGACATGCTTCACATTAACCCTTTCCATTCAAATGAAGGTTGAGGTACCTGTGTTGCTGAGACTGTGCTGTATGTAACAGATTTTCAGTTATTACCAAATTATTTTTTTTTTACAGAATGCATACAAACCAGTTTTTGATCATATGAAATATGAATACATTTTATTTAAATCCAATCCTCTCATATGTCCGTAATTCAAGCAATTACTGTAGGGAAGACACTCTGGTTGTAACAGTCCATCACCCGAGTGGAATGGGTTAACTGTGCTATTTGAGTTAACACTTTACAGTACTGTACTTAGGCAGACAGGCACTCTTGTCATAACATGTTTTATTTCAAAGCACTTAATCGTTCAGCCCTAAAAACAATGATGAATGTACCACACTTACATCCTAGCTGCCTTATTTCTGAGATTTCCCTTGACTTCCTTTTTGACTTTGTCTATGACTCTTTCAATGCCTACTGTCACCCTGTTCTTTACAGAAGTAGCAGTCTTACTGAGCTTCACCTTGATGCGATCCACAGTTGAGCGAATACCTTCTTGATCTTCAATAGTCTTGGGTACCACAGGGCTAGGCTGTACCTGAGCCAGAGCCAATGGTGCTCTGGTGATATCAGTGTCATAAATATATGTGAAATCTACCTAGTAAGCCATAAGGATAACATGTAATCAATGAATGACTAGTGGTGCAGTGCAGTTCTAATTAATTAGTCACTAACTTTTAAGTGTTAATACAGTACTGGCACAAAACACATAGAAACACAAAACCACATATCAAGCTAAAATTTTAACAAATCACATATGCTCATATACAAAACATTTGGACATCAACCCATGCACTTACTGTAGTCAAATAATGTAATGCAATACTGTACAGTCTCGTCTCCCATACGCATTTGTCACTACTGATATAATTTAAAATTTTATTCGGCAGCAATGTAAAACATGATCAATGATAAATGGATGTCATATGCAAAAGAAATATCTTTGGATCCAATTACATACAATATATGGCAAGATTTACTCTATTGTCATATTGAGGTGATATGGTTGAAAATAAGTACTGTAGGTATCAACCAGAGCAAGATATCCCTCCACTGCAAAGCCAAGTACAATACATTACTTTAGCGCTAGGAGAACTCGATGATGATGCAAAAGCAGTCCAGTTGCCTCGGGGTAACCCACCACGATGAGGTTTAATGACACCCTTCCATGCATAACATGGTAACTGTGGTATACTGTGTTTGATGATGGAGCAGCCTTCTGTGCAACATACGGAATCACCAGCCCATAAAACTCTCACCCAGTACCCTTTGTACATGCAACACTCCGACCCAAAAATGCAGCAAAGACCAGGGGAACCACAGAACTCTGGTGCTCCAGTTGCTATCAAGCACATTTGAACCACATTTTATGACTGGATACCCATCCCATTGCCAACTCACTTTTACAAAGTGGGAACTGGCATTACATGGAGGACTTCCAAGTCCCCTTTTAGCAAGTTTGCAACTCCCAGAGGTAATCAAAGATTACATGCCCATTGGAAAGCTGCACTACCTTGAAGTCTTCTCTTGAAGGCTAAAGGAAAACAAAGTAAAATTAACTACCGTATATACTCGTCTATAACCCCCCCTCGTTTATAGGTCGATCCCGATTTTTTGACCAAGAAATCGTTAATTTATGATATTCCTCGTTTATAGTTCGACCCACGTTTTTGAGGGTATTGGAACAACAAAACCTTCAGTAAAAACGCTCTACGTCCTATAAACTGAGGCTCGCCGTACCTGAAACACGAGTGCCGAAAGCAAAGTGTTTACCATTTATTATTACGACACTTTACACTGAAACGCGAGTAGTTTCAACAAAAATATTGTATATTTCCATTCAAGTATTTATTCAAGTCAATTAGGAGGGAATATTATTGTAATACAACAGTTTTTAACTAAACCATTTGAAAAGCGATTACGGTAACATCTTTTGAACGAAAGAAAGCGAAAGTAATTGTTTTCGTCACGATTTTATCCCACTTTCCACTGTAATACGTACGTAATTTCAGCAAAAATATTACATTTCCTTGAATGTATTATATCAAGCACAGTACGAATAGAATATCATTGTAATATAACAGAATTTTAACCGAAAACTATTAAAAAAACGAGTAACATCTCAAGAACATCGGAAGCTTAGGTAAAGTCTTTTGTTTTCGTCATGTATGTTATCCTATTTTACATTGAAATACATCACGTTTCAGCAAAGCTACTATTTATTTTCGAGATTATATACTGTATTCATTCAGGCGCAGTTTAGGTAAGATATACGTGTGATGTAATAGTTTTTTAACTGAAAACGATTCGAAAAACACGTACCCTCTAGCCCTGTTCAAGGAGAGGACTGGGAGAAGCTATTTGGTGCTGCAGACGATGACAAGGAAAATGATTTGGATGGATTTTAATGAAAATATTCAGAAATATGGTATCGTAATATTTATTCAAGTCAATTAGGATAGAATATTATTGTAATACAACGGTTTTTTAACTGAAAACCATTCGAAAAGCGATTACGGTAACATCTTTTGAACGAAAGAATGCGAAAGTCATTGTTTTCGTCACGATTTTATCTCACTTTCCACTGTAATACGTATGTCATTTCAGCAAAAATATTTCATTTCCGTGAATGCATTATATCAAGCACAGTATGAATAGAATACCATTGTAATATAACAGTATTTTAACCAAAAACTATTAAAAAAACGAGTAACTTCTCTTGAACATCGGAAGGTTAGGTAAAATCTTTTGTTTTCGTCATGTATTTTATCCTATTTTACATTAAAATACATCACGTTTCAGCAAAACTACTATTTATTTCCGAGAATATATTCATTCAGGCACAGTTAAGGTAACATATACATGTGATGTTACAGTTTTTTAACTGAAAACGATTCGAAAATCACGTGTACCGTCTAGCTGATACACGCAACAGCTGGTGGTGCGTCATGCGTCGTTGTAAACAATAGGAGGTTGAAGTAGATTACCGGGTATTATATTAAGTGTGAAATATCAAAAAGGTTTTTATTATCGGTAGTTTTTGTAGATCAATGAGAACTGTGATACCGTATATGATATGATAAGTTAGCCTGTGCTAAGAACTTCAGCACAGACTACTGAAAGCACGTTGTAAGGTAATTTAGCCTATTGTAAGTTGGTGAGCTTCATTTGCTGAAGGAACTGCACAACTTTTCATTACTAATTGGTACATATTTTATGTTTCCATTGTTTACTGGCAGTAAATGGTAAATTTTTTCATGTCTGAAGCTAAAAGTTGCTCCTCGCCCTTCCCATCATGCACGGGTTCAACCTAACAAAACTATTACGCATGTATAGGATGACCCCCAATTTTTTGCCTAAAAATTTGGTCTTAAAAACTCAAACTACACACGAGTATATACGGTACTGTAAATGTAATCTTATATGATAAAGCCAAAACTACTATTTCTCTTGTTAAATATTAGAAACTGCAGAAACTAAAATTGTATACAATTAACAACTATAAAATCCATAAACAATGAATACTGTACAGAGTATTTTTGTAAATGATGTAAGGAACTATACAAAATTTATTGTAACAGTACAAAAAGTAAATTTCCATGAGGAGTGCAGGTAGACCCTGATATTCGAGGATATGATAGGTAGAAATTTGCAGTCACTAGTAATTTTTTGTGCTGTGCTTTATGAGTGAAAACCCTTAATTTACAGGTGGGGGGGAGGGGAATGTGTTTCTATACCCACTTTTAACTAAATTTTTAAATTTTCAATCAGTACAAGTACCCAGTACTCACTTTAGCATTAGAAGTGTAATGTGTCCAGCAGTGTTTGAAAGAGAACGGATTGACTCAAACAGTACGGTCCGGGCTGCAGAGGACTGACTGCTGTGCTGGGATATACAGGGTACTCTCTCTCTCTCTCAACACAGAGCACTATTAAAAAAACTTCAATTTTAACATTAAGTACTGTACTTCATGGAAAAGAGCATGATCTTTTAATTTTTTTAAAAGATAGCTAAATACCCTGGAGTAGTTAAAAAAAAAATGTAGGAGTTTCTCTTAACGCAGAATGATATCAAATACACGAAAATCAGCAATTGTACTTTAGAAATTTTAACAAGCAAAAATAGGCATTTATGGCATTTTGCCTGAACACCTAGGCATCAATTGCATATGTTAATCCTGTTTACTCTTTTAAAGCATAGAGTTTTGTACAGATTATTAATTTCTATTGCTGCCAGTTTTACCTCCTGGCAGAGCAAAACAAGGGTACTTTATTTGAAGATCTTCCATCAAGTGACATTTGTTATTCAGCCTTCAACATTCGACTTTTTCCTGCTCTACTGAGACAGCTTTCATCAAACTTAGCATTAACCCTAAAACTGAGATGTCCCTCATTCGAGGCCACTTATATGTCTGCAGCGTCCCTCATGTCAGAACAGCAATTTTTTAAACTGCGTGCCAATTTTAACCAGTGGTGGGCATGGTTCCGCTAACCGCTAATTAGCGAAGCTAACTTTCTCGTTAGCGGATTAGAATTTTCGCTAACTTTGGAAACCATTAGCAGACCAATTAGCTTCCGCTAAATTTAAGTCCGGTAACAAAATTTATACACGTGTGTTCCTGTCTGTTGTAAGAGTGTGACGCAGCGACGAGTGTCTCCAACAGCCAGTCAGGCACGCTTGGCTGACTGCGTGTTAGTACGTTTAAACGTGACAAAGCATGATTTGTCGACGGCGCACTGCAGCAGCTGAGCAGCATTGTGTAATTCCGCAGTTCTGAGTTCAGTTCACTTACGACGTTGTCACATTACAGACAGTCTAAGCAGTCTTACAGTGTCAGCAACTGCAGCGCAAGTTATCACTTATTGTTATGGAAGGTGAAGATGTTTTTGTTCCGCCTGACGAAGCTGGGCCAGGTGGGCCTGTTGACAGTGTTGAGGTGCCTGCAGTGGCTGTGAGTGAGGCCGCTGAGGCGGAGGCTGCTCAGGTTGAGGGCCAGGAGTCTCAGAGCCCGTGGCCCCACCTGGATGACTACTTTGTCCTTAAGTCAAGGGATAAGAAGAATGCCAACATCTTGTACTAAGACCAACAATAAGTTATATAAAAGTGCACTTCTATAATGTGTATGTGGTTGGTATTGCAAATTTACATGAATAATGCCGATAGGTTGTATGAGAATACAGTCGACCCTCGTTAAAACGGACTAATAGGGGGGGAAGGGTGTCCGTTCTAGCCGATTGTCCGGATTAACTGATTTAGGGGTTAACATTGCATAATAATGCATTATATAGCTATGTGTATGTTTATTTGAGTGCCCCGTCATAGGAGTCCGTTTTCTCTCACTTCAGGACACCTGAGTCGTCCGTTTTCTCTTAATCTTAGAGTTCACCAGAGACTTCGTTATTCCTTAGAAGTGACACAGAATTTGAAATTGCAACTGGGACAATCCCAGAACCAGAAATTTGATACGGACAGTTCAGATTTCGTCTGATTTATCTGAAATCCGGAATAAAGGGGTCCAAACTAACGAGGGTCGACTGTACAAATTAATTATTTGTGAAATTGTATACAGTGTACACCTTGATAAGTTGATTATCATCTGATCTTGACATGATGCTATTTGCTATCTAATATACTATAGGAATAGGCGCGCGCACATGTGTGTGTGTGTGTCTGTCTGTTCTGGGCAGCCGAAACGGCACAACCGTTTTTCATCAAACTTGGTGGAAAAATCGCAAAAAATTAGTAGAGTGGAACAAACCTGGTCCCATGTCGATGGTTTCTTTAGGAAGGCATTAATTAACCATTTTATTTACAATGGAAAACGATTCAAGTCTACGGACTTGGCGCACCCTCATTCGCTGTACGCTAGCCAAGCACGAGCATTCAAACTTTCACTGGGCACGAAGGTGCCCGCGATCACTTGTACAGTAATATAGTTTTTGGATTCGTTTAATACTTTGTCTTTTCGTACAGTAAATAAAGATTATAAAGTGTGTGTTGAAACTTGAATGTAAACTAATGTTTAATTTCATTTGTTCATTTAATTATTTGTGTACACATTGATCATCATCTGATCTTGACATGCTATACCTTTTTGGAAAGCTCTATGTCTAAGCTACAAGACAACATACGAAAATTTCAGCTCTCTAGGTCTGATTTTAAGGGTTTTAGAAGAAAAAAATAAATAAATAAATTCTTATAATAAAAGTTAGCGGTTAGCGTTAGCTTCCGCTAATTTTTTTTAGCTGTTTAGCGTTAGCAAAGTTAACTTTTTAGTTAGCAGATTAGTGGTTAGCGAAGCTAACTTTTTGTTTAGCTGTGCCCACCACTGATTTTAACATTCATAAAGCATGTCATGCCTTAGTAGACTCCCTTTTGCTTACCCACATCTTAGTAGGGCTCTCAGTTGCCTTTGTCATTACACCTTGATGGTGTTTTTGTAAATGATGAGTTTTTTGTTGAATTTCAACCGAGGGGTGAACAACATTCTGCACTATATCAAGGATTAGAGGAAGACTTTGTTGTATTGATCCTACACAGTACATGTTTCTAAGGTACCACTTGCTTATAACCATGAGCAGACTTTATTTGTATAATCATAAATTATTGCTTTGCAGAGGGTTATTTTGTGTGATCTGAGAAATAAGATTTGTTGCATCCACTTTTTAAGAAACCTGGTCTTGATACTGAAAATGTTATAGTCGTCCAGTCTCCAATCTCACTCTTATCAAAGATCATAGAGCATGCTATGCTGGATCAGTTACTTCCTCTGTTCGAGAGAAATGGAATGATTCCTCTACTCCAGTCAGCCTATAGGAAGCACCATTCAATTGAAACGATTTAGTACTATTAAGCACTTGCTCATGGTGTTGCCAACCAATTCTATGCCAATGATAAACCGCCATGAAAATAATAAATTTTGAAAATACTGAGGAGGTAATGAAATCCTTGATGTCTGATATGTATTAAGATTTGGATAGGTAGGAGTAAATTTAAAGCTGAATGATGGCAAAAATGACATTACTCTCATCTGAGGAAATAAGAGGAGTGAAAGCGGAAATAATTTTGGCTCTTTTAAACTGAATTTTGAAGAGCATATAGCTTCAGTAGTTAAAGAGTTACAACTTTCATATTTGAAATCTACTGTATATATTGTTAAACACCTGAATCTTGTGCAGGTGGAAGTCAAGCACAGTGAATAATTCTGTTTTATACACCAATACTAATTTTTGCAGAACTACATATGTACCATTTGTGTTCTGAATGGAAAAAATCTAAGTTTTCTCTTTTTAGTTAACAACATTTTACCTTCTGTAAAACCTTTCAAAGGCACAATAAGAACTGGTTTTCTCTGTCCATTTGGTAATTCTTGCAATGACACCCAAATCCCATGGTAAAGCAGTTCATGTGCAATTTTGGGTATCAATATTTACCCCATCTGTGTAACATCGATTTATTTGATATTCCCCCTTTTTCTAAAGAATAGTTATGCAACCTTTGATTCTCTTCCTCCACCACTGAACATTAACTCTCAATAAATGAATACCGTAAGTTCTACAATGCTTTTTAACCCCTATAACAAGTCTAAGCAAAACACTACTAATTATATTTTTTTTTATGAAAAACATTTTGTGTAAGATACAACTTCAACAATTTGTAGATGAAAATTTTTTTTTTATTGTCATGCACACAAGCAACAACAAAAAAAACTATACTGTACAAGTACTGTAAATAAATGAACTAAAAGTACATTCAGGTTCAATAATAATATCTAAGAGGGTGAACAAATGGAAAACTTGTCAAGATTGGGTATACTGTACTGTAATTTTGTATGCTACTTATTAACTTACGACTTCAAAAATCCTCGAAATTTGGACTTTGTTTTCAGACTTGACGCTGAGACACTATTTTCTGAAACTGATGACCTGTTAAATGGGGAAAATATTACTTTCTTATTATTTATATAATCCTGAATGGATTAGGGAATGGTTACTCAGCAAAAATCACATTAGAAACGTCTGTTAGTAAATGTGCTCTTAGTACCAACCAAATATGCAACAAGGACAACAACCTTGCTTAAGACATCACTGAGCAGATTATGAATGAATCTAGGACAGTGAGAGACTTTTGTGAAGGTTTATCTAATCAGTGCTTGGTAGCATGTTCAAGCACTAGGAGTGTTGACCGAGATTCCCAGTTCTTGATAACACATCACCAATCTATAAAGACACTCCATGGGTTATGAACACCACAAAGTTATAACTGAGGATATCAATATTGTATGCCTGCAGAAGTGTTTCATATCTAATGGTAAGCTCCCACTCAGTCTGCCCAATTATGTGTACTGTACAGTATTATGATCGTAGTTTTACTCACACATGTCTAATGTCTGTTAAGAAATTGGTACCACATGTACCTCTTGTACCAAAAAAGACTACCAAATTCCAATATCATAGGATCACTATCTACCTGGGCAACTCCATACTCAATGTGCTGAACACCTATGCTCCCTCAGATCAACTTCACTGCACAGATCTCCCAGACTTCGTATATACTGAACCCACTGTCCTAATTGGTGACCTGAACACTAGACACAAGAAATTAGGGGACCCCAACACCAATGACAGGAGACTTATCTCATTACTAAGAGCATATGAAGATGTTCAAATCATAATAATGAGCCAACGCATCTATTGCGGGGTTCTAGACAAGAGTATTGGTTTTAATCTATCATACACAACTCACTCTGATGTAGCCAGTGATCACAAACCAATCCAAGCAGGTACAGTGGTCCCTCGGTTAACGAACGCCTCGGTTAACAAAATTTTGGTTAATGAAATACCTTCCATAAGAATCTTCAATTCGGTTAACGAAAAAAAAATTGATCAACAAAATCCTTACGAAAATCACGTTTTGTTGTGAGCATCAGCTGATGGCCCAGTCTGCCAATTCAGTAATCTGTTCTAAGTTTAAATTCGTTTCCAATGGAGTAAATACACCCGTTTCAATAAATTTCATCTTTTTAATATTTTTGAATGTTTTATATTAAAATCAGTAGTCAATTTAACATTAAATATTGATAATATATGCACCAATTACTTAATATCCCATTGAAACAATGGATTCGGTTAACAAACGACCTTCTGGAACGAATGTGTTCGTTAACTGAGGGACCACTGTATACTGTATATGTAGCCAATGCCACTCCCACTGGTGGAAAACTTAAGACATATTGTCAGGTCATAAGCGCAATTGTGTGTGTTGACCTGAAACTTGTCACTGCAACAACTCACATAGTACAGTATTTCTGTATGAATTTAGCTGAAACCTGATAGACATCATCACTATCCAAGACATCATCACTATCAACTGAGTATATGCATGGGCTTTTCTGGGGTGACATGGTCAAGTTGAGATTCATGGCTGAACTGGCAGGTGTGTGGTGGGTTGTCTGAGTGATGTGCTTAAGTTTAGGTAGGTGGAAATCAGGGGTTTAATACCAGAAACTAAAAAGCCAATAAAATAATGATAAAACACTTTTAAGGACATTTGCAACCTATAATTACTATTCATGCAATTCATTAAAGTTCTTTGTAATTTTTATCTGAATTCTTGGGTTTGTAGTTTACACAGTTTATAAAAATTAAATGAAGTAATCTTACTTGCTAACGATTCTTTGGATATCGTCATCGTCAAAATCACCAAAAATAGAGTCACAACAGGAGCGCCCTTCCTTTGGTCCACAACAGTACTTTTGCTCAGGCGAGTCACCTGGCTGGGGACAAGTCATATACGTTGTTTGTCCCCAAACATTCTCTCTGCTGCAGGTCACTGCTAAGCCTGTAAGGCAGATCATTCATGATAAAGTTAAAATAAATTTCAAATCATATTTGTATATTTCTGACCAAATAGCATTATAAACGAAGGGTCATAGAAAAAGACTACTAAATGGTCTTCCTGCCATAAACAAATTAGAGTACAATAAAATTACTTGTTCTATACACATATGAAAGTACTATACATTATAAGCATTTGGTCACATATGAATGCATAAACATACATACTGGGTAAATACTGTAAGTGGTGCTGTTTGCAAAGCACTTATAAAACTCGGTCAATTGAGTAAAAAATGTAATCCAAAGATTAAAAAATACTAAGAACATAATTGTTCTGAAATCTGCAATTATTTCTGCAAAAAAGATCAGACATACAGGCTGTAAATAAAAGGAACTTGAAATACCATTATTTGCATAATTGGATAATATAAAAAAAAAAAAAAAAAAAACTAAGGTGAAACAAAAATGTAATTGACAAATACAAATCCTTAAGTCACCTGCTGATACACTAGACAGTGCCTTAACTATTTTGGCAAATTGACAAAATCATTTCTTTACTACTGTACTGTATCCCAAATGTCTGATTTTAGCATGAATGGATTATTAGCCGTTATATTGCACTGTATTCTCAAGTTTGGCACTTAACATTGCTCAGTGATTTTTTTTTTTAATTTGCCAAAGTACCATAGGCTATGAGGCCATGGTCTATGTCCGGTAACAGAAATGAAGTAAAAAAAGAAGGTAATAATATCAACATTCTGAAACATATTAAATCAAGTGCAGTTTGTTTACATGTGCTAGCTGACTAATGGCATACCAACTAGCAGCCATCCTGCCCATTTTCACATGTTGGTAGCCCTACCCAGTGAATTGAGATCTTACCCATCGTAGTGCCTGAAGCACATTCTTGAACAGCGCCTGCCACCGTGAGCTTGGGGTTCCTAATGACTGAGCACACTGTTGGGTATGTCAACTCTGAATACAGCCTAAGGACCTATGGCTTTGATGGCAGTGCTAGAATGGAACCATGCATTACCTAAACAGTCAGTCAAAGGGAGTCCATCAGAGGAATCTACTCGGCATGGAAGGATACACTAAGGGTGTACCTCCAACTCGGCCCATCTTAAATAACCAACTCGGCCCACCTTGCACACTTCAAACAAGAGCGGACTAGAGGTTCAGGAATGAGTTTGAGATATGTTTTATGTCTCTTTTGGTTAACTGAAATACAAAGAGTGTGAATGAGAGAATACCGAGGGTTCAATTGGTATGACGGACGAATTTTATGAGTTTATGTTAGTAGAACTTGATCAATGAACCATGATTCACATTCATAATGTGTGTGCTTCTCCAGGTGATTTCGAATAGGGTTTAAAATTACTGTATTGGTTCAAGCAATTTGCCTACAATTGATGTTAAAATGATTGGACAGTAGTGAGAGGATAGTGATCTATCTCCCTTCTTGAAAATAGGTACCCGGTATCACATTCGCTATCCTCCAGGATTTTGGCACTACACCCATTTTTAATGACATGTTAAAAAATTTGCTAAGGGCATACTAAGCTCTTCCTTACATTCCTTTAACCCTTAGGAACCGGGTGACGTTCCAGAACGTTCGCCTATTTTCCCGCCATTTATTCTTTTGTATTACTTTTTCATTTATTTATATTTTTTAATTTTTTTGGATTTTTGTTTCTCGATTCATCCCCAGGCGGGGAAGGGGGGTTACTGCCAGCAGCACCCTAACCCAGGGTTTAAGGGTTAATACTCTGGCAAATATCTCATCGGGACATGGTGACTTACAAGGCTTAAGTTTGTCTATTTGCTTACTAACATCGTTACAAGTCACTACTATCTCGCTTAATCTCTTTTCTTCACTATCTTGTTATATAGTCGGTGTCTGGATACCTGTCATCATGTTTAAATTTTCGGCGATGAAAACTGTTGAAAAATACCTGTTCAGATTATTACTCATTTCTCCGTCGTTATCAGTAAGCTCGCCGGTATTAGTCCAATCTTGTCTCGAGTTTTCGTTTGATATATTTGAAAGAATCCCTTGGGGGTTTAACTTTGCCTCCCATGCTACCTTCAGTTCATTACTATTCTTCTTTGCTTTTCTTATATCGGCCTTAACCCTACTGGCCAATACCTTATACAGTGGTCCCTCGGTTAACGAATTACCTTCCATAAGATTCTTCAATTCGGTTAACGAACAAAAATTTGATTAATGAAATCCTTACGAAAATCACGTTTTGTTGTGAGCATCAGTTGGGCAGCTGATGGCCCAGTCTGCCTGTAAACGCCTTAGTTAAGGACGTTCAGGTGACGGGCAAGTCGAAGGGAATGATTGAAACCAGTCTTTTGACGCATTCAATATTTATTGATGTGGTCAAAACCTGCAGACAACAAGGCGTTCATTAATATTACATGGTGATCTATCTGATACATAATTAGTTAGTCTCACACAATTTATCTTAATTATAATTGATTATTGAGCATAATGACATGATACAAAGTTCATAACTCTATTAATCTTAGCTACACTTCATTCCGCATTGTCTTATTGCTCCAGATAAGGCAGGAACGAGTGGGCATAATTAGTCCACAATATTTCAGTACTGAGGGGTATGTCATCAATTTGGCTGTACTTACAAGTGCGGGTCAATGCGAACCAGTATGGTGCTCCAAGGGAAGATAGTTCTGTGTAAATTGTTCCAGTACAAAACTCAGCCAGGATTGGGAGTTGTTGTTCACTGCTAGCAGAGTGTTGATCCTCACAGCATCACTTGAGGGGGCAGTGTCCTAGAGTCCAGGTGGCCACGCCGCCTTTTAAACCATACATTAGCAGAGTCATGATCTCTTCTCCGTAAACACCGCTCACCCCTTAATCTTTGTTCGGGTAAGGCAGCAAAAACGTCAGCACTGACACTAGTGTTGACGCCAGTAGCGATGAGAGTCCCGGTGGTAAAGAGTCCAGGTGGCCACGCCGCCGTAAACACTGCCCACCCCCTAATCTTTGTTTGGGTAAGGCAGCAAAACGTCAGCACTGACACTAGTGCTGACGCCAGCGGTGAAAACACTCCCGGCGGTAAACACCCCCCCCCCACATCTGTCGAGGTAAAGGTCGCGTGGTGGGGGGGGGGGGCTCACTCGAGAGGGCGATCTGTGTCATGAGATCCATGACACCCTCTCAGCGCTCACGCCAGTGGTGATGACACTCCCGGTGGTAAACACTGCCCCTCCAGTCGCTACATCTGGTGTGGTAACAGGCCGCGTGTGGGGTGGGGGAGGCACATGGTTGTTGACATCAACGATAAAGCCAGCGGCGATAACACTGCCAATTCAGTAATATGTTCCATGTTTACATTCTTTTCCAATGGAGTAAATATCAATAAAGTTGTGTTTTCTAATAGTTTTGCCTGTTTTATATTAAAATTATTAGTCATTTTAACATTTATTTAACATATTGATAATATATGCAGTACAGGGAACTAGTTAGTTGTGCACCCATCAGATGCGTGATTCGCTCACAAGGCATCAGTTGAGACTTTGAAACGGTGGAGAGCACCTATTTTGTTGGTGTCTTGAATATTTTTGCATTTTTCATTGAAATTATTGGTCATTCTGAACTTTAGTTATCATATTGATAACATATAGTGCAGTGCAGTGTTGATTTAAAGAAAATAATCTTGAATTACACATAGTGAACTTAAAATTTTATTGGTGAAATGACGCATCAAGCATGAGTCTCCTGAAAGGTGATAAATTCTCCTCCATCCCCACTTCCTTCTCTTCTCCCTTCTTCTCCACCCCCATTTCTAATTCCCATCATCATCAACCAGGAGCCTTCTACAAACACACCTCAAAGTAAGTGAACTTTACTGCAATTTTTTTTTACTTTGTATGTACTTTTCGGTGAGCTGGAACCAATTACCCAAAATCCCATTGAAACAATGGATTCGGTTAAAGACATTTTTGGTTAACGAACGACCTTCTGGAACGAATTGTGTTCATTAACCGAGGGACCAGTGTACAGTAATATCCCCGTTACCCGGAACAATCGGTGCAGAACACTTCCAGGAATGAGAGATTTTCACGAAACGAGACGACTCTTTCAAAGTCGGAAAAAACCCTTCATCCCGGAATTTCCCGGGTAACGGAAAAACAGTTCCCGGAAATTGCCCATTACATCATCTCTCGAACCCGGAAAAATAACCCTCATCCCTGGAATTTCCTGGGTAATGGAAAACTTTTCTTAGAATTTCCAGAAAATGTGCCTGATTTTCATCTCTCAAACCCGGAAAAAATCCCCAATCCAGGGAATTTTCCGGGTATAGGGGATATTGGGATTTTTTTTTCAGAATTTTCCGGAAAATGTGCCCCTCGGAATATCTTTCCCAAAGCTGGAATTTTATGGAAAATTCCGAAAGTAAACTAATAGCACACTTACACACATGCAAACAGTACAGTATACAGCTCCTCCCCAACTTACGACCACCCACACGTACTACCTGCCTCAGTCGTACCAAAATTGTCAAATTACGTATTTTCGAGTCCCAACGTCAGTACACAGACAAAATTTTTGTTTGTAATTCACTTTAAAATGGCTGGCAAGCTTAAAAGTGAGAGTCCTCGTCAGTGGCGTGTCGTGAGAAAATGCTAGGGTAAGCAAATGACGCTTTCTTACTTGTAAAGTCACGAGATCTAAAAGAATTCTTCAGTAGATCACATACAGTCTGTATGTGATCTACTAAAGAATTCTTTTAGATCTCGTGACTTTACAAGTAAGAAAGCGTCATTTGCTTACCCTAGCATTTTTCTCACGACACGCCACTGGTCCTCGTGATGCTGAGTAGAAAAAGAGACACCCATTTTAGATTTTTTATGTATTATTTAAGCATTTTCGACTTATGACCTGGATTTGGGTCCCTTACCCCGTTGTAAGTCGGGGAGGAGCTGTGTGTGTGTGTGTGTATATATATATATATATATATATATATATATATATATATATATATATATATATATATATATATATATATATATATATATATATATATATATATATATATATATATATATATATATACACATACAGTGGTAGCGGAAAGTTTGGGCGCAAAATTACAGGCGCCCAAACTTTCCGCTATTATCAAAACATACGATAAATACCAATTTCCGCCCAAACCTTTCGCTATATTTCAATGCTAGGGTTTGTACCACTATTTAGGCGAGACAATACGCACCACATGGCAACTCTGATTAGTCGCTTCAGTGAGCACGTGGGTGCAGTGTGTAAACTTCTCTCACACGGACTAGTCGTTTTTTTGCGTTTTGTTCTGTGTTTGTGCCTCAATATCTCTGTAATGGGAAGTGGTACAGAGCTGGGAAGAGACACAATTGTTGCTATTATAACCCTCTATAAGGAGGGTTATAAGTGTAAAGATATAGCCACTCGTGTGGGAATAGGAGTGCGCCAAGTTCAAAAGTGGATCAAGAAATTTAGAGACGGCGGAGGTGAGGATATTCCTACCCCCAAGCCTCGCTCTGGTAGGCCAAGGAAAACACAAAATCATACTTCCAAGGTTATAAAGAGGCAGTTGGATAAAAATCCAATACTCACAGCTCGAAAACTGAAGGAAAATAACCCTGCACTGCTCCAGGACGTGTCTGTAAGATGTATTACTGATCATTTACTCAAAGATTTACAATATGGCAGTTGTTGTGCTAAAGTTCTTCCCCTCTTAAGTGCAAAAAATGTACGGGATTGCATTGCTTTTAGTAAGAAATATAAGGATTGGACCCTAGAAGACTGGGAACAAGTCTTGTGGAGTGATGAGTCAACGTTTGTGGTGTCGTCTGGCTGCAGGTCCAAGCGTGTCAGGCGTCCCAAAGGATCGGACCCAAATGACCCCCGCTACACAGCTAAAGTTGTAAAGCATGCTCCAAGTGTTATGGTGTGGGGATGCTTTGCATTTGGTGGAGTTGGCAATTTAGTATTTTTTGAAAAAAATGAGTGTAAATCAGCACAGTTATTTCGAGTTATTGTGTGATAACCTGCCTGAAAGCTTTGAAAAGTGTAACGCTAGCTGGTTTATGCAAGATGGAGCTCCTGCTCACACAGCTCGATCTATTATCCAGTGGTTAGAGGACTGTGGTGTAGATTACTTCAAAAAGTGGCCTGGGAATTCACCAGACCTAAATCCCATAGAGCACGTGTGGCATATCATTAAAAAAGAGCTTCAGGATCGTGACGCTTCGACAGTAGCGAAGCTAAAAATAGAAATACAGGATATTTGGGATAATATCATTCCCCAACACGTAGAAAAACTGGCAAGATGCATCCCACAACGTTTGGAGAAGGTCATCAAGCTTAGAGGAAAATTGCTTGGCAAATAAGGTACGTCATGAGCCCTTTAAATGTCTATTTAAATGTCACAATTGTTTACATTCGTCTTGCACCCAAACTTTCCGCTACCACTGTATATATAGAGCTCCTCCCCGACTTACGACGGGGTTAGGGACCCAAATCCAGGTCGTAAGTCGAAAATGCTTAAATAATACATAGAAAATCTAAAATGGGTGTCTCTTTTTCTTCTCAGCACCACAAACCTCTCACTTTTAAGCTTGCCAGCCATTTTAAAGTGAATTACAAACGAAAATGTTGTCAATACACAGCGCAATCACTGACGTTGGGACTCAAATACATAATTTGACAAATTTTTGGTACATGTCCGGGTGTTCGTCAGTCAAGTAGGTCGTAAGTCGGGGAGTTGCTGTGTGTACATGACGGTAATGGATAATAGGGTCACAATCGAATTTAATTGATTTTAAGTAGTTTTCAGTCTTCGTCTGTGAGATGTTATCACGAAGGTGTAATGTTGAATCATGTCATCCAGTCGTGACCATTGAGGTATCGATTTTATCACAAAATTTTTTTTCAACCAATCACATTTGATTTTTCTCAAAGGAAGCAGCCTGGGTATGATTTTAATTTAATTGACCAGTTTCACAATGGCCGTGGTGGAGGTTGGTTGTCGTTTGTGCTCCTACAATTATTTTAAGTTTATTGCAGAGTTTTACGAGAAAGACGATTATTCTATCCAATTCTTACGTATCCCTGGTCCTTCCACTACTAACTAAGGTATTGTACTTTCGGACATGGCGCACCTCAAAGTTTTTAACTACTGAAACATTTAGGGTAGCTTAAGCTAAGCTTACCGGGGGTCCACCCCTGGCTAGGAGTTAGGTTAGGTTTTGTTAGGCCAGAGGACTCTTTCTCCCCCACCCAAATACCCTGATTTCCCAGGCTCTCCCCCATTATTGTTTGGAGGGGGAGGGGGGAATAGCAATTTCTGCCAAAAATAAAGGTCAGATTCGTTTAAAACACACCAAAATACACTGGAAAAACATATTGGTCAACCCCTAGGGATTCATGTTCTAAAGTATATATATATATATATATATATATATATATAACTACAAATGTTAGGTAGCGTTTATTTTAAAAATATCCGTTTTTAAACCTATTTCCACAAACTACAACAGTGTCCACTATAATAGAACAATGAAAAATCGGCGTTTTTAAAAATTGTTTTCAATAAATTTCGCCCGCGGGTTAGTCCTATATAATTACCGCAACAAAAAATACCCAATATTGAATTATGTCCTGTACTATAAATTGACCAATTCACTTAACCAATGGTTTTCAGGGACTTAACCCGATGAAAATAAATGAACATGATAACCTTATGTATGTTCAAGACGCAAGTCTACATGACCTCCGTATCCCGCTCTTAATCAGATACATCCTCTGAAACTTCATGGGAGGACTCCAGGTGGTCTGAAAGCCATCTTCTGGTCAAAACACACATCACGGTCAGCCCAGGGATTGATTACCATTTTTAAACTGTTTTTGTCTCATCTGTGTTTGGCTTTTAACAGCTTTCTTGGTGTGTCACTGGTTACCGTTGTTTGGATACCTGTAGTTTACTGTCTATATAACTGTTGAAACAAAGTGAATTTGTATGACCTTACTGTCTATGAATGCAGTTGCTCAAAACATGAATGCCGACGCTAATTAATACTCTTCCAATTTTTACTCTGTTCATTCAGATCTATTAGTTTTCATCGCAGAAGAACCTTCCCGTGATCCGTGACTCAACCCCTTCAGGAAATAACCCACAACCTTTTGTGTGTTGGCCTTGAGCCGCCACACCTTAACACCCACACTGCATTTTTGCAGTAAATAGCAATAATATAACTTCGGTTAACCACTGCACCCACAATATAAAACGTCAAACACAAGACTACACAAACTGAATGCAATAAAAAGTTAATAACACACATTATCAAGGACAAGTAAGCATTTCTAATACAAAAACAAACACTTCTAGAGTTTCTAATATAGCTGGATATTACTTTCCATTGTGCATGATGCTGCAAAGAATTGCAGTGGCGAGGATATTCCTTAAATGTCGATCCATCTTGTGCTATTACTTATTTTTCAGCCAACAAGTGACAGGAACAGTCAACAAGACCCACACTTATACAGGACTGTGGATGACTGGCCGCGCCTGTGCTGTGACCGCCGTCTGCTGCTCACCGACCTGTTCGTGTTACCACTCATGAAAAAACCCAGATTGCACCCTATATCTTTCCATATCAATACATTTTTTCAAGGTTTGTGAAAATGATACATGCAACATTAAAATATACAGTAATATTTTATTATAGATTCAGGATAGTAAAATACAACCGTCAAACAAAAGAATGAACAAAAGAAAATTGACCAACTCGATCGTTGGGAGACGAATCTAAAGTTCTATTTCTGAGTAAATCAATCACCATCTATCAATCTGTTATCTGAATGAATACATAAAACACTTCTTTTAAAGTAAAAGAGGGCAGAATGATTGCAAAAAAGTTTGCATCACAGTATTTTTATATCCACTGACTGAATCTGCTGCTTGTATAGTGTTTCTATCACTACACTGTATGTTTTCTTGTTTTAACCTCTGCTGGTTATTCTCGGTATATCTTTAGTGACATTATCCTTGTTTCACTTGTTTGTATACTAAGTACAATTTTGTCAATTTGTACTTGTGAAGGTTTTTCCGGTCCGTTCTGTTCTCGTACACTTCCAGTTGAACTGTTTACGTTACTCATTAGGGGTGAAATTGGCGATTCGTGGACACAGATTTGCCAAATCACTTGGCAACCTCAACCAGTCCGAGTAACGTCCTCACAAGGAGCACAACTCAAGGTTGAAGAAGGTAAGCTTTCTCGGAGTGGGAAATGTGAACTCTGGAATATCCTGGAGTGTTGTGATGGCAACGAGTGTGAGCTTGTAGTGGATTTCTCCCCTACAAACGCTGTTTGTCGCTGGATAGCCGACCCCGCGAATTCCACAGTGCATGCCTCGCGGTCTAGGTCAACCAGCGCCGCCTAACATAGCGGAGGTCAACTATTAAGCCACGCCTACCTCCGCTATATAAGACCTGACCTCGTGGTGACCTCTCTCTTCTTCTAGCTACAGCCGCACCAAGCAACACCACCTCCTCCGCCGCTCCCTGGCGGTCCTCGTTCCCGCCGGCGAGCATGGCGACCCACAAGCTGGTCCTCCTCTGAGCAACCTCACCAACTAGCTCTCTACATCACGCTTGTAACCACGCTGCCACTTCCCAGCACCAAGCTGCACTGTACATCCAATACAATATGTATACAGAGAGCACATTGTGAGTTTCCTTTCTCCATCCCGTCCTGAGTGTGAACCAAACATCACGTACCCCACAAACTCTTTCAAGACCAGACTTGACCAACATTGGAGCAAGTTAAGATTTCAGATTTGCCCCCGAGGGGGCTAGTTTATTGGGCACCCCCTTACATCCTGTGCAAGGTGAAGCGCAGAAGCGTTTACAGCGCCCAACAGGGAAGTATGAAAAGTTCATACTTGCCTTTATGACTCGTACATTAAGGGCGTAAAAGCCTGAAGGGTCATAGGTTTTGTCAAGTTACATAAAGTGAGAGAATGATGAGTGTGTGGGGGGAAAGTTCCCGGTACATTTTATCTGTTTATGGCAAAGAGTGGCAGGTCCCTAATAATGTCAAATGCCAGGCCTGTGACTAGGAGGAGGGATATCTGGTCTGGGAGGGAAGAGGTGTTGGTAACGGCTGGGGACCTATAGGAGGAGGTCATAGGGCAAGTGAGGATGTAGTGAGAGAGGGTGTGAGAGTCGGGTTGGCCACAAAGTTTACAAACAGTGCGGTGAGGCTCAGGGTTGCCAATGTACTCCCATAGGTACCTGTACCCTAGGCGCAGTCTCATGTATATAAGCTGTTGAGATCGAGTCAGGGATTGATATTCTTTGTAGTGGCGGTTGTCGTCACCGGTTACAGCGTCATAGTGGCATAGTGTGATGCTACCCCGTTGTTTCAGGTGTATCCAATTTTCTTTGAATGCCTCTCGTTGTGTGGCGTGTATGCGAGATTTGAGATGATTCAGGGAGAGGGCGAGAGTGGCTTCAATATCTTCTTCTTGTGTAGCTTCTTTGGCAAGCCGATCAACAGTGTCACAGGCAGTTATTCCTATATGTGACGGGATCCAAAGAAACTTGACACGGATGTCATCAGTTTGTTCTAGCCCGGCAACGGCGGCTAGGGTGTGTTGGGCGGCAGGGGAGGAGGGGGAGGGAAATTTGAGCCTCGCTAGCGCAGAAGTGCTGTCACCGATTATAAGGAGGTTCCGGCGTTCAGTGCGAGCATAGGTCGCCCCCTCATGAATGCCCGCGAGGATGGCTATGCTTTCAGCATCAGTGGAGGAGGCCCAGTCGTGGACCCTTATTTTCATGCAGGCCTGGCGCTCAGGAATCCATGCAGCTGCCCCAGCGCTGCCCAGCGTGGTAACAGACCCATCACAGTAGACGAGGATAGGAGGGTGGGAGGTCTTTAGAGAGGAAGCGACATCATTAATCTGCTCAAGGCAGTTAAGTTTGAGCATATACCTCAGTTGGGTGGATTTACGACCAGGGAAGGTGTGGACGACAACATCAACACACGGGGAGGTCCACGGCGGTAGAGGCGGATGAGTGTACTCGGGAGGGAGAGAGGTCGAGGGGGTGTAGAGGTGATAACGCAGGATGTCAGCAGCAGTGTGGACGGGCCAGAGTTGAGAGGGAGGGGGGAAAGTAATGGGGACAGGCCGGCGCAGGAGGGTGTTAAGATGTGAGTTCAGTGAGCGCGACAGGGGAGTCGGTTGCTCACTGCGAAGAAGTTTAACACCAAGGATGGCATTGAGAGCAGTAATTCGATCGCAGACGGGAAGCAGGATTAGTTCGCGCTGCATGACTTCTATTCTGGTGGTCATAGGGCAGCCGAGGATGAGTCTCATCGCTCTGTTTTGGATTTTCTCTATGCTTTGTTTCTCGCGCTGGGAGGCAACTACAAGGACAGGAGAGGCATAATCTATGACAGCTCTGACGATGGCAATGTACATGAGACGTAGGACCCTGACAGAGGCTCCTTTGAGGCCGTGAGTGAGGGACTGGAGGGGCCTCGTTCGTTGGCGGCACTGGAAGATGACGTGGGCGGCGACAGCGGAGGTCGTGGCTCTGGTAGTGGCTCGCACAGGTAGACCAAGGTACCTGTAGGTGCGTACTTGATCGATGTCTTGTCCTTGCAGAATCAGTGGTGTCTGACGCCGGAAGCGTGAGATGAACTTGGTTTTAGTGTGTGAGATGACTAGCCCGAGTGTTTGACAGGTCCGGGCGAACGTGGAGAGTATAGGTTGTTCATGTTGCACTGTAGTAATTTGGAGGAGAATATCATCAGCGTAGCTTATGATGTGACCGTCTAGGGCGCGCTCAGCAAAGATGACGTTGAGGCGGCAGATGGAGTTCATGAGAACATTGAAGAGTGTAGGGCTGAGTACACCTCCCTGAGGCGTGCCAAGATCAAGGTCCCTGATCTTAGAGTAGTGGCCCTGAAAACGGACACGGGCCTGTCGATGGGAGAGGTAGTCAGTGTGGTGTGATGAAATCCTAGACAAGGTTCTTCAAACTCCAATAGCACGAGCAGTAGATATATTCAATAAGTGTACAAGACTTGGCAGGATAACCAACCGGTACAGGAACAGGAGTCAGCACAAGGAACTCCTCGTCGTAGGCAGGCCGAAGCCGATCTGAGGGAAATTAGCTAGCTAGGCAAGGAGAGTTGCTAGACATTACTAGGACAATAAATGAGGTCTTCTAATTACTCGACTAGCGCGGTACAGACATAGTATATCGGGACATAGTAAGTGAACATAGGCATTAGACATAAGCATAGATATCAAACATGCTATAATAATATGTAGTAATACAGACATGTGAATAAATGGTACAATGAATGGTAACAGAGTCTTGGCGTCAGGCGTGTTCACATATCTTGGTATTTACATATCTATACAGTCAGCAATCCACGTGAGGAGTTTGCCCTTCACATCCATGTGAGTGAGGCCCTCAAGGATCACTTCACTGTTGGCTTTATCAAAAGCACCCTTGAAGTCGACGAAGAGGGAGGTTTTGGCGGAGGTGTTTGCCATGTAGTGAGCGATGCAGTGAGCAGTACTCTTTCCGGGGCGAAAACCATAGAGGTCAGGGTGCAGGTGGGCTTCAATTTTCCATTGGAGGCGGTGGTGTCATGATCGTGATAACGGCTAACCTGAAAACCTTAAGGATTCATATTACGCTCAAACGTCCACAAAACCTTCTGAGTCCCCCAGTGGAAACGTCCCCTGTTTTCTCTGTTTCCCCGCCTTTGTTTAGAGGGAACTTTGAATATAATCCACGGATTTAGTAGCAGACGCTGTATGTTGGGACCTGTTGCCATCCAACCCTTTGTAATCAATTTAATTTTGCTTTTGATAGCTGAGTCAGAGCATTGTTAGTGAAGATAATAGTAGGGAATGAAACTGAGATCATAGTCTCAGTTTCAGCGTCAGAGTGTACAGTAAATTAATTCATCGGAATAGAAGTAGGTGGGCTCCCTGGTCTGTTTTGAGTGAGGGCCCCTCGGGCATTTCTACCGTTAGTGAGTGCCCGTCCCTTCATCCATACAGGTATGCCATTCCACGCTGTGTTGTAATTCGCCCTTCTTTAAGTGATTTGACCCAATTAATAGTTGATTGTGCAAGTGTTACAGTAACGTAGTTGATATGCTCTGAGTGAAGTCATATTTACGTCTTTAACGTCCCCTGAAACGTGATGTTGTTGTCACCGTTAGTGAGTGCCCGTCCCTTCATCCATACAGGTCCCTAACGCAGCCTAGGCCGTGTCTGTAGAGTGGATGTTGTATCCACTATGTCTGGGGAGATGTCCGAGGTCCAGTAGGATCAGTTACCTTCGTGAGACCCGGCCGTCAGACACTTCAGACTACCTACAGCCCCCATAGCTGGCTCGTCTGGCCCTAACGCTCGGCCTGCGAGGTGACCCCGGATCACCAAACCACACACCACTACCAGCCCCCATCATTGGTGGATGAGTGTCTAACTCAGTAGGGCTATTTGTGTGGTGGAATTAATCCACTGGGATCTCCAGAGTTCGTCGGAAAGTACTCCATGGTGGCTGGACCCCATGGCTGTTGCTTGAGTATC